ACGAAGCAGAGTGGATTTTGGATATGGAAGTAGCTGACTCAAACTCAAAGGGAGATTTGGGGGAACCCAGGCATGACACAGGTGAGGCGGCAGGTTGGCGGAGAAGGCAGGAAGTGAAAAAAAACAGGAGGTCAGGACGGAGGGCAGCAAGGCTGCGAGGCTTGCGTTCGGAGAACCCAGGGGTGCTTGGCGAAAGGGGGGGGGGGGGGGGGGGGTGTGGGGGGGGGGGGGGGGGGGGGGGGGGGGGGGGGGGGGGGGGGGGGGGTGGGTTATTTGGGTGTGTTACCGGTTCGAGGAGCGACTCCCGTTTCTTCCTAGTCCAATCTTAAAAATACTAACCCAAGTATCCCAGCAGCCACCCTTGGATGTGGAAAATTCTGTAAGGGCCTTAAAAAACAGTTTGTTGGGGAACCCCTTCAGTCTCAGCTCTTTCCTTAGAGAAAGCAAGGCCACCCCCACTCCTCTATGGTCTGAGGAGTGGGAGCAAATCCTATTCAAGTGGCATTTAATAACACCTTTTTTCTGGCTCATGGGTCCGTATGATTGAAAATCTTGCGTCGAGAGGATCTGGATGGGATTATCACTCTAGATAAAGTCTTGATTCTTTGGTGACGGCAGTACAAGCTACTTGTGGGGGCGTTCTAGAACAGTTGATCACACACCCGAGAAATTCCCATCCTCCTTCATTATCATCCGTTCTTACGAGGGAGGGATTGTCATCGTAAGCTTCTTCAAACGACTTTAGACGCATAGTGGCCTTCGTGTATGCTGAGTAGTCATTCCTTGGCATCAGGATAAAAACGCTGACATAGTCCACTAATCTTAGTCCCGTGATATACTCGGAGTCAGATCCCATGAAGCGGAGAAAACAGATCTCATTGTAAGAACACAGTGGGCATGCCAAGGTTGGACTGGAGCATTTTCCCATAGGTATACCTATCCTTTGCTGGATGATCATGGTGGAGACACGGGAAAAAGGAATGATCAAGGTCGAATTTTACAAAATCAATCAACTGTTGAAATTTCAGTGATACCCATCCTGTATCCCCTGAACGGCTACCAAAGGACGCCTCTTTTCCCTGTCTTTTCCCTCTGATATTTTTCTTCCCGATACTGGCGTAGTAGTGGCAGATCCAGTCCAGAGCCTTGATAATAGACTTGTGAGGAAGTTTGGTGAACATTTCTTTAATGTCGTAGCTAGCTGATATCAACAAGCCCTTGGTAGTCCTGACAGATCTATGGTCCAAAGATATTATCCTATCCTTCAGCATGTTGGTTGCCTTAAGATTGAAGTTTGAGGCACGGGGCATGCTCGTACGCTAGGTTCTGAGAAGGAAGGAGCGATCGGACACCATCTGGACACATCTTTATGCTTGGGTATACCGTAGCAGCATCCCAGTCTTCCTCTGAGATTCCAGCGGGCTATGCGACTTGCACTAATGCGGTCATAACCTTCTTTACATAGCTCAAGGACACACTCTTCACTAAGTGATATGGTAAGAAACCCGTTATTTCCCCAATACATTTTTGCAAGTGCCTTGTGGTAGGTACTCATGCAACAAGCCAGGGAATCACCGACGTTGTGGTCTATAGGGACAATGACCAAACCATCGAGTTTTACCATCCATTCATCCAGACTTATTGAGAGATATGTCTGTGTATCACATCCAGATCTTAAGCATTGTCTAAGATCACAAAATGCAGAAGGTCCTACTTCTGGTATCCTAAAAAGTCCTTCTTGTAGGGCGTACTTAATCCGTGTGAGAGACGCTTCGGAGGATGGGGAAATAATATTTTTAGAGTTCCGTAACAACATGGGAATTGCGTTCCTTGTGTATTTACACTCCGGAATTGGGCCAGGATCGTAACACTCTCTCTCTCTCTCTCTCTCTCTCTCTCTCTCTCTCTCTCTCTCTCTCTCTCTCTCTCTCTCTCTCTCTCTCTCTCTNGTGTGTGTGTGTGTGTGTGTGTGTGTGTGTGTGTGTGTGTGTGTGTGTGTGTGTGTGTGTGTGTGTGCTGTAGCACACTCTCTCCCCTCCCTCTCGCACTCGTACCGCGCTCTGTCTTCTCCTCCCTGTTATTCGTATTGCACACACTTCTCCTGCCTGATCTCCACTGTCTTCCTGCTTTCAGTTTGCCTGTGTGCTGTGCACCGCACATGAACAGTTTTGATAAGTGCCAAGTGACCAAGTTCTACATGCTCGGAAAGGGCCTAGTTGCACTACTCGCCATCCTCCAAGTTTGGTGAGTAGGTGCATGGTTGCACTAACTCGCCAAACTTGAGCACGCGAAAAAATGTCAGAATGTGTAGAGAGTGTTCTTTTCCATCCGCCAAAGCGTGTGGCAAGCTTCCCGACTTCCTCTGCTGTTTTGTGGAGGGTACAGCTAGTGGCCCTTCCACAAAATGACTTCCTGGTGAGTATTCCAGTTTCATGGCTGGAGATCCACCAACAGTGGCAACTACCCTTTTTCAACTTTTCTGCTCAACCCGGTGAACCGAAATCTTGTTGAGTAACACTGTAAGTGCAACTGTGATGCAGAGTCTGCCACTATGTTTTGTTTTTCCACTCTCCATGCTTCCACCACAGATTGGGCCGGATGGCGAGTAGTGCAACTAGGCCCTGAAGCGAAGGCCTACTCCTTTGTCGGTTCGATCACCACCATCGGTGAAAACGAGGGCGTAGACAGGAAACAGACTTCCACGTCGAATGTGAGAAAGTGATCTGAACCATAGATCTCAGGCAACAGAGCCGAATAGAGGACAAAGGGCCTCACCACACCACTCCTGAATCCCAAAAGCTTTTCGGAATTGCTCTTGAGAGTAAGAAGTAGGTAAATCCCGGTCGAGAGCGTGCTTCACGACACGGCTCTCTCGAAACCGGCGCTCTCAACATCCGAGCTTGGCAGTGGGCAAATACCACGATGAACTCTCTCTTGTCCTATGTGGATGGTTGATTGCTGATTTCGGGAGCGTTTGGGCCTATTCAAGGCCACTGTGCGATGTCTCCCAAAACTGCCCTCTTGCAGGCGGGAGGTTTCGGGAGCATTCTAGAGTGCTCTTGAGCCTTGACAGCTCCTGAATTCGAGAGCTGGTGTGGTGAAGTTGAACTCCCGGTATTCAATGATTTTGGGAGTGGCGTGGTGAGGCCCAAAATTAACTGAGATGGTTGGTCAGGCGAAGTTGAACTCCGGAAATTCAGGAGTGATGTGGCGATTTCGGGAGCAAGCGAACAGCTCAGTTGGTTAGGCATGCAAGTGACTTCAGGAGGTCCTGGGTTCAACCTCCACTGACTGCCCGCAGATGCTTAGTGCCAACCAACTGAGATAGCTGGCTTGCTCCCCCCCGTCTGTATTGGCAGGGTCTTTGGCCATCACGGGTGTGTGTGTGTATGGTGTGTGAGTGCTGGCCATAGACACTGTTGTTACTCGATGGGGCAGGGGAAGTAGATGAAGGCACAGCGGATGGCAAAATGCCCGGTCTTTACTTTAGCCGCCCCCCCCCGCCGGCCATCCCACCCTAGTCCCTGACCATCGCCATTAGAGGGGGGGGCAATGTGCATCCCCTTGATTGTGAGAAGTAGCTATGCTTGCAGGGGTCGCCTGTATAGGCCTAGTGGTAGTGGTAGGTAGGCGAAAGGTACGGCAAGGCTCAAGATGCCTGTCGTTTGTGGGAATGGGAGTCTGGTTGGTTTGATTTAGCCTGGCTCTCTATTTGGGGGAAGAGGTCTTGGTACTGTGCCTATATTTTGCAATAGGTACTTTTCGATCCAAACAGGCTCTCTATTGGGAGACGGTGGGTGTGACGTGATACTGAGTTGATAGTTCCTGAAGTAGCATGGGCCCTTCTTACCAGTGATGTGCGGTGGTCCTCGCCGAACTGTGACTGGTTTGAGTTCTTTTATTGAAACCATAGTACATTCCTATATAATATATATAGGTTTCAGCCTCCTGATGAGTCGGTGAAACTCCAACAAAACAGTTTGTCACTGCCCCTCGTTTGTTGTCCTCTTCTCCCTCTCTGCCTACAGTTTACCGGGCAGCTTTGTATATATATTTGACGATATATATCATCATATGATGAGTCGGTGAAACTCGGACGAAACACTTTGTCACAGCCCCTCGTTTGTCGTCCTCTTCTCCCTCTCTGCCTACGGTTTACCGGGCAGCTCTGTTATATATATATATATATCGGGTAAACCGTAGGCAGAGAGGGAGAAGAGGACAACAAACGAGGGGCTGTGACAAACTATATATATATAGGAACAGACGATATATATAGGAACAACACATTACACTACATTACATTTAAATGATTCAATACATTACCAACTGACCTAGCTGAGTTGGTTCACCCATGAACTGTTGAAGTACAGACCCAAGTTCGAGTCCAGAAGCAATGAGATGGAAAGAATAAAATAATTCTGAATTACCTGGGCCGGTCAGCTGAATGATGATACGCTACATCACATTACATTAGATTACGTTTTGCATTAAGTACTTCAGTCTCACGGTCTTTGCGGGGAAAAGAAAAAAGAAACAAAGTCTTACTGTCTTTGCCCTATCACAGGGATTCTGAGATTCACGACTTTCTGCAGGATGATTTTTTTTTTTTTTTTTTTTTTTTTTTTTTCACCAAGGGAATAAACCCTCAACATTGTCATACTCTTAGTCACCTGATTACATCATGAGGAAGGATTCAAACTCATGACCTAGTTACTGTCACTGAAATGTCCTATTTGCTGTCACTGGTGGGTTGTCCTGCCAGCCTTCTGTTACTTATATCTGCCTCCTGTGTTATTGCTATTCGTGTTCCTGTTGACTTACCCCCTTTCTTCACAGATCGATCGGCATATTGATCAAGTCGTGGGGGGGGGTCGGTCAATGACATCAATGGGTGCACTGATGGAATCTATCGCTCCCTGCCTCGCAATTACTGACCCCTCAGCAGCAGTGGCGGTTGTAAATGCCATTGGTTGAGGTGCGACTTTCCGTGGACCGAGCGTCCGACTGATTGGCTGGCGATCTGGTTGGGTTGATGCACCAGGTGAAGGAGCGATAATTAATTAAATTCAGTTCAATCAAGTGAATGATCATGGATTGTGGGCCAGATTTCCTGACATTCAGAGGAGACATGTGGAGGGAGCAACCACCGCACGAACCGAGATATGATCACGATGCGCAACAGTTAAGAGGCCACAAATCCGATGCTGTTCTCCCGGGTGATGATGAGAAAAGTCGAGGTGTATATGAACCTGACCCTAACCTGAAATTCAACATGAGAGTGGAGGGTTTGGGCAGTGTTTGGGATGGCCCTCATTTTCGCAGATTCGCGTCCCAGAGGGCCCTCTTCCTCACCTTATCAAGGAAAAGAATAAGCCATGCGAAGCCAGGGCATTTTGTCAAGCGCAAGAAATACAGCGGGAGCCTCAAGTGGGATCATCATGCCATTGGGAGTGTCAGGGGGGAGGAGGGGGTGGTGGTCGAGGAGGAGGATGTGTATGCTCTTCATCCACGACATGACCCTCATGCTTCAGAGGTGGGGGCGGATATGGCAGGCTATGCTGGCGGCCGGGATCGCAGGAAAATGATGCCAACGACTGAAGCAACTCATTGGGCTATGGACATTCATGAAGACAAAGCTCAAGGCAAGGGAGATGGAGAGGCAGTGGACGTGAAGAGGGAGCACGGGCAGCACGTAGCTGGGGGTGTGACTGATGAACTGCGGGAGCTGGTGCTGGGGAAGAGAGCAGATTCAGTGACTTCTCTGAAAGGTGAGATGAACGTCAAGGTGCCCCTACTTGCCCAAGGAGAGGCGGAGGATGCAGTGGACAAGGATTGGAGCAGTGGGAGGGTTATCGAGATCTATTCAGAGGGGGACCCAAGCGCGCAAGTGCGAGCCCTGGGTGGCTTGAGTGTTCGCAGCCTCTCCAAGGGACTAGAAGCTGGAATGGGAGGCATAGTAGGATACAGACAGCGGATGAGCAGGGTGCGGGCCATGCTGGCGTCCAGAGAGGCACGGCACAACGACGTGTGGCGAAGGTACAAGGAAACCAAGAAAGAGATAAAGGCAGAGTGTGAGCAGATGCTGGAGGCGGCTATCACTGAGCTGAAGCAGAAGCTGGCCGGCTCAGAGAGTGCAGTTGAGGCAGAACTCCGATTGCTTGTCTCTGATGACTTGGGAGCCATTGAGGTCAGTAGCGCCAAACGAGCCCCAAAATATGAAACACGTTCCAAGCAGGGAATGGGGGTGTGCCCTTTCTAACGTTGGTTGTTGGTTGTTGTTGTTGGTGAGCTGCTGCTGGCTGCTGCTGCTGCCCAAGAAATATAGGACAAAGGTGCCCATGTGCACACGCACTCACTATTTAGTACTATGCATTGTTCTTCCATAGCATACATGCTAGGTACGAACTTGGTTTTGCTGTTTTCAAAACTAGCCTCTTACCTGAAAGTAAAAAGATAGAGGGGAAACAAAGCATGAGGATGAGAGTAATTACGGGCAAACTGTGGCAAATGTCCAGGGACTCCAGAATCGACTAAGTACTGCAGGTGATCATGTGCTGCTGCTCAACAAATGATTAAAACAAGGAACAAGTACGGAAGCGGCAGGTTTTGAGTTCGAAAAGACAAAAAAAACACTACGTGGCACTGTCCTCATGGCGTGAGTTTGAAACGGCAATTTCAGTCCAAATGGATCCATTGGCTGTCTTCCCCCCCTTTCCCGTTTGGCACTACAGCCTGCCCCTGTAGCTTTATCATCATATCAGGGACGCTGAGCCCGGTTAAAAAAAAAAAAAAAAAAAAAAAAAAAAAAAACACTTGTGCCTCTGTCCCGTCGGCGGTACTTTCATTGCTTCTTTCATTTTGCCAGCTCCTGTTTTTTTTTGCCTATACGAAACTCTGTTGTGACATTAACGTACTTGCCCCGGGCCCTCTGTGACCTTCTCCTTTGCACAACTACAAATGCGACTACACTTGGTTGTAGCCACATAGTGTCTGTCAGAATCACTAAAATGACATGTACACATCAAATATCAAAGATGTATTAGGCTTTACTCTCACAGAGAATACATCTTTGCACAACAGTATCGCACCTCATGAGATCAGCCACCCTTCTGCCTATCTCTGCTCACGACATGGTTTCTACATCCACGTGTGTAGAGGACCGTCCCCTCATTCCTGACTGCAGGCACCCTCCACATCCAGACACTATATGTCCATCATTTTGCGTCCGTAATCGTTATACCGAATGCATGGTCGTTTGTGGTGAGCATTCTTCCCTCATGTTGGCTTGCAATCAACATGCCATTTGTTGGGAGTGTTTGGTGGGCATTCTCAATGCCAGCCAACGTGGCAATTGTCTTACCGAGAATGCTCAGCTAGGTCTTCTGTGTCTTCGTCCACCTCATCCTTCCAATGTATGTCCTCTCTGTCGTCAAGGACAGACTGACTCTTGAACCTTTTCTTATACTTTCTTAAGCTTTCATCTTCATTCCACACCCCTTACTTTCCCTTACTTTCCCTTCGTCTTCCTTTGCTTTGTCTTCTGTCCATCTTTTCTCTGTGTTTATCTCCTCCCCCTTTACTCTGCCTCCTTCTCACAACTTACAAGTGGGTCATAATGGCACATGGGGACGCGGGCACTCACACTCACCTTCATGAATGAGGCAAGCCTTGTACGTGAGAGGCACAGTAAAGGGGGAGCTAAACGAAGAATGATCAAAATAATGGTTTCGGTATGCTCTTCATGTTTGTCGTCTATATTTTTATCGTCAAGTGCACTCTTTTGGTTGATATATATTTATTGTGACGATTTATATATATTAAGGTAGATTATCATTTACAGTGTAATCAGTGAGGGGATTCTGCAGACTGTTGAGGGTTCAGCCTCCTGATGAGTCGGTGAAACTCCGAC